GTATTGCTTACGCTGCCAAACTCTTCACAGAAGACCAGCGTCTACTGACGATCACCGCAAAAAGCGTGGTAAGTTATTCTCGTATGCGCTTTTGCGCGTTCTTCCTTAATCATCAGGCTTGCATAGTGTCAAGCTGCAAAACGCAGCGTCTCTTTTAACCCTTCGCTTTCGTCCTTTGGTCTTTTCTCTTTAGTTTAGGTCTTTAATTTCCATGTTCATGATGGATAAAGAATTCGCTCACTGCATATCTACATCCTTATGCCAACCTTCTCCTGAATAATGAGTCCTTGTCGGTTGTAAGAAGATCCGATTACTTTTTCAGATGGTAGCTGTCTCTCCGGCAGCTGTTTTCTAAGATACCGAACAACCTATAATATCACTTGAGAATTGCCTCCCGCTTGAACTCCATTCTGTTCTATGTCGAAGCGCCAGTCTTGTCGCAGAAAGCATATTCATTTTGAAGCATTCTTTTCTCGGAAGAAATTTGAACAACGCAAAGAAAACGAGGTTTGCAGAAGTTAATGATGTCAAACAATTTTGTGACTTCTTATTCAACTGCCTACCGTCATTGCCCATTAATAATACAAGGTAAACTGTCCAACTAAATCTTAACCCAGAAGGTTTAGATGTGATAGGTAAATAGAGAAAGGCCGTATCGCTTACGTCCACTCGACGTGAAAATAAGGACCTGACATTTGCCAATTTTATTGACCCCTTCAAGTTACGTTTTATGTTAGCCAATTTGTTTACAAAAACGGCGGGAAACTTACCTTCATCTGCCCAATAATCGATTCCGTTGATTGCCGCCCGCTCGAAAACCCCATTTTGTTCTCCGTCAAAGTGCCAGTCTTGTCGCACAAAACATACTAAATTTGACAGAGATCTGCGTTATTGATAAACGTTCGCACGTCCTTGCGTTTGTTCATCTTCTCGCCAAAGAGATCAGTGTCGTTTGCGATGAACCGGACACGGGCGAGTTTGACAAATTCGATGGTCACATGCAAAGGAAGTGGGAGGGATGATTTGTTAAAGTACAGGGAAAAGATTAAAAAACGTTAGCGGCCAATCAGGAATGATGGCGGAATTGGAATCTGAAACGTACAAAATCGCCACTGTTTCAAGCAGTTAGGCACATGCACAGCAAATTACATTATAGCACACTTTGGAGTACGCTTGCATGCATAAACCAAATTCAGCTGCAAGCGGCATTCGACGAAGTAGGCAGCCTCTGATCCGGAGTTTCAGGCTTCTTTTCAGGGTTTATTGCTCTCTGCTCACGTATCCACAGCCAGCGATTTAACTCAACTATGAATTTTCTCTGGAGATTGAGGAAACCCGTGGGTATCTCTCACGGTTCTACGGAACAACTCCACCCAGTTCGGAATCGCGGGATGTTACAGAAGGAGATAGTGCGGCTGCATATATGCTATTTTTGAAAAACGACTTCAAACACTAATTACCGTTATCTGGGTTGTGGTATGGTTGCCCGTTGATGAGAACTAGACCTAAAGTTGCCATCCCAGCGCATGCGATGCATGAAAAAGCAGGACTGCCATAAACTGTCTCGGAAGCTTTGAAAGATTTTTTAAGGCCAAATGGGCTTGCACATGACGAGTATTAGAGTGTTTGGCGTCATGGCTGAAGGTTCTTCAGGAACAATTAAGGGTATAATTGGTGAATATGCTTTAAAAGTATAGTAATTTGGCCGGAGAATAGAATACTTGAAAGGAAATAACTAGAATTCTCGGCCAAACGAAAGGCTAAACATTAAAAGAGCTACTAAGCATTACAAACTTAAGCTGTGTCAAAACCGCAGTCTTTCCCGAACGCCTCCTTTTAATTTTAGAGACCTCATTTAGAGAACTTTCGACAATGCTTCCTAACCATAGTCTGCGGGCTGCATGAAGCTTGCACCTTCTCTTAATAATACTTAGTGAGATCTTGGAGTTACATCGTCGCCACAGAATCTGTGTCTATACGCATTGCTTAGACCCAACAGTCACCAGTGGCTGCAGAAAAAACCTTTAAACACAGCTAATCTTAGAGAGTATATTGTTGCTTGAAGGGTGCGATTTAAGCTACGATAATACAATCATAGTGGCGAGACAGCATCACTCCTTTGTGTTACTATACGTCCAAATGAAGTAGGTCATAATTGCCCGCGAGCAACCGTCGATGTTCGCAGATTTTGAGAGCTGGATCCTTTCCTGTCTTAAAAAACAAAGACTGAATACATATTATCCAAGCTGACTTTCCGTTTATTGATGGACGCTGCCAGGACATTTTTGAGTTCTTCTCAACTTCATGGCCTCTGGTTGGGCAGTGGCATCTGATCTAGGGCAGCTGCACTTGACTCGAAGGAAAGGGCACTGTAAAAGCGCTGTCCTAAGCACTTTCGCCGCATCCGTTAAATGACTTAAGATGCCTGAGAATTTATTCCCGAGTGCAGATTTATATATTTAAGAGGAAGCGAATTAATTTATATCAGGTAGCAGTGATGAAGACCTACAGTTTTTGCTCTTCATCCAGACAAGTAGCTCACCATCCAGAACTACACAAGAGGACTGACCGTACGGATATGCGATGTTTGTGAAGTTTTGTAACAATTTACAAAGCCTGGAGGATTTACTGAATGGCCCTTCGAATCGGCAAAGAACCTACCAGTTGCATTAGTAAGGGGTGCCGAAGTCGTCCTTATTCGGGTGTTTCACAACTGGCTACACTTTTAGGCTAGCTGTCATTAATCATGAGAGTCGACCGATGCAGCGAGACTGAAGCCTGCCGTCCATTAGTACGTGCTGCTCGCAGCGCGGACTCTGCAGCATAAACGAGGTGGACCAATTTGCGTCCTCATGCACCTTTGACCCCGCTCTCCTGAGGATTCGCTCAGTGACACGTTCAGACTGAGTGTGCGACAGAATTCAGTTTCGTCAAACGCCAAGCCAACTATTTACTAGACTTTAATCACATAGGTGGCCTCTTCGGACACTGTATGTCTCGTTACACTTGGCACAGGACCTTACAAAGAAGGAAGTCGAAAGCCGCGGCTAAGTAAATAAAGTAAATGATAGTCGGCGTTTGCTAACCATGCCAGTCTACAGGATCACGTAGCAGTGGGAATACTTCGTCGGTGTAACCGCGTCCGGTGCGGTATCCAGCCTAACTGTAGATTGTCCTTGCATTACGCACCATGTCAAAACGCCCATGGATAGCGAAAGCAGGCCTTTTCAGCAATTCCTTATTGAAGGTTTTAGCTACTTTCTTGAAGAGTGACACAAGAATGACTTATTCTTGGTAACTTGAAGGATCCTATCTTCCCAAACTTGTTTTATCGAGTCCTGGGACTGATACACCAAATTGTTGCTAAAACATCGATAGCACTGATGCTATCCTCCTTGAGGAGCGTCTTTGTTGTGCAGTCTCAGTATCGAACCGCTGACTCCTTTCTGCGAAGGAGAGCTGACTCCACACAGCTTAAAGAAGGCGAAAACTTCGCTCTCAGGGAGGTTCTAAGGAAGGTCTTTGCAGTTGAGCGAACACACGACTTTGGCAGCTATATTCGAAACAGTCTCTATCAGCATCGCAAGGCGCAGTTTCACGCGCCATATGTGTTTGCGGTCTGTTGAATGAAGGCCAGATATGTCCTGCCGTCTTTTCTAGTTCTTTTTCGAATATTTTGCGCAATAAGCGGAGGGGATCCTCATTGTGAAAATAAGCCTCAAATGGCTAAGCGAAGACAGTTGGCGTACAGGTACCACGCGAAGCATTGCACTGTAGTCGGTTGCATCCAATATTCTTCTCAACTGGCCTGAAGGGTAAAGAATTTAGTAATGACCATCTATCATTGGTTCTTTTACGAGTTTGGTTGCGGAACGAAACTCGATTTTGGTGGCCCTATTGCAACTTTGATGGTGTGCATGTATTTCGAGACCTCAGGAAACAGTTCCTGGACCCTATGAGTGCAAATTAGAGATAAGCCTTCGACCTTATATAGGCGGGAGCATGATCTGACCAGTAGGCATTATCGGTTTTGGCCCCATGCATCGTTATTTCCTGCACCCAGACAGGAAATGCTCAGCTGACTAAAATATAATAAATCTGGTTTCTCGCAGACTACCCATTGAAATACAAGGCAGCACACGAATTGAACGAACCACTTCCTTATTTTTGCATTGAGATCCAAAGTTAAAGCGGCGAGGTAGCTAAGGGCAGACAGAGTCGCCTGTCCCAGTGCTACTATTCACGTGAGTGACAACATCAAACAACTCACGGTAAATTTTTAAATCGGCTTCTGTAGCCGCCCGGAGAAGGCCTCTTCATTGCTGTGATCGTAAGCCAGTAATACAGCGTAAACGATTCATTGGTTAATTGTTTGTTCAGTGATTAGCTACCGGTTCGTACTCAAGTAGTGTTTTTATCGTCTTCCTCCAGAAGGAAGATCACCATATTATGGCTATGGGCGGCATCTACGAGACTGTAGTGATAGAAATCAGAATTAGAATTTGCACAGAGATTTGCTATCCCAAGAGCAGGAGTCTGGTGGTCAAAAGACATCAACCAGGCGTCACCTTGTACACTTCCAGGAGGTGAAGGAACATTCTTACATTCATAAAATTACTATCGGAAGTTATGTGCGTATAATATTAGCTAACATCAATTTACTGGGGTTGCGGAACGCCAATTTCCGGCTTGTGTTGAAAAATATATCGTAATATAGAGTGCGGTTACGCGGGAATTGTAAATAAAGGTAGGTCCTTCGTACTGACTGGAATAATTCGTCCAAGGCCGTTTTCTGAGCGCTTCGATTTGAAAGCTCCTTCAAACAACAACTGTCACAAGCCAATGTAGATAACGGTGTTTCAAGCTTGCCATCGTAAGTTGATGTCACGAGACTTTGAGGTACATAGTAAATCTGTCAATGTAATAAGCTTCAGCTCTTCTCACCATGGCACTTTTGTCACTTTTTAGTACAAGACACCTGATTCTAATGACGTAAACCAGCTCAAATGACAAGTGACATTAACTGAAGGTCGCTGTAATATTTCCTACACCTGCATGCGTCCTTAAGACATTCCAGCGTACTAAACAGTTGTGCTCACGCTCGTTATTTACCGTAGATGACTCATCGGGAGAGCCTATTATCAAATCTCCGAAATATATCCTTGAAGTACGAATGGCATCCAAAATGGTATTTGACGGTGAAGCCTAGGGGCAGGGGGGGGGTTCAACAGTTATCTCATGAATCGTCAACCGAAACTCAGAAGGGTGTTTTCGATTCCTGCGCGCGCGTGTGCTCAGCAAACATGATGGACAAATGCGCTCAAAATGGCTAGTCGGCTGCTGCCTCAGTCCCCTTTGTACTTGCCAGTTTTCTGCAGGTACTGTTTACTAGAAAGTTTCCGTGTCCTTGCGTATGCTTTCTCGCCTTCCTGTTTTCTCGCTTTCGAATAGCGTGTGAACTCTGGCTCCAATCTATTCTTCCCTCGTCTAGGAGGAGGCTGAGGCAGAAATTAAACGCCACATCGCGGACCTCGTGTCGGGCGGTCTGTCGGGGGATCTATCTTTTGCAGGATCCCTAAGCGCGAATGGCCAATATCTGCAGACATCAGTTAGCGCCAACGAAGAAGGCGAACTTCAGGAGTCACAACCGCCGGAGTACCTTGACCCCAACTTCTCCGTGGTCGCCCTGTTGAACAATGAGGTGCTTGTAAACATACCACAAGATCTGAGCATGGTTGTCGATGGAAGCACGCTGACTTTCCTTCTTGAGCCAGAGGTTTGGCCTCTGTTTATGCGGTTGGCTCAACTCTGCTCCAGTGTTGTCTGTTGTCGCGTCTCACCGCATCAAAAGGTAGCTGCAGGCTGGTAAATGTGATTTCTTTGTCTGTTAATTCCCCTTTAACACGCGCGTGCACCTTGTCGCCTTCGAGCACTTCAATTCTCTCCCCTGATGCTCATTTTCGACGAGGTTGTTGCTTGCCTGGAGTGTCTGCACACTCTGTGTAGCGTCCTGGAAGTCTGGGATCATAAAAAAGTAATAAAAAGCAATCAGACTACTTTTATTTACACAACTTGCTCAATATGCCTGCCATTCTATCCAATGTCTGAGAAGGGATTTTCCCCAGTCAGAAAGCGGCTGCTGAGGTTAGATTTAAGTGCGTTTGCAGGACGCACCCTCGCGGTGTCAGTCCTAGCTGTCCTATCCCCCATCACAGACGCACGCGCTGCAATCCGCCCAGTCATTCCTTTTTACTATAAACTACTTGCAAGCGCTTTTAAATTTCAGTAGTGCATCTCTGCTTTCTTTACGCGCTCGTATGATAACACAGGTCCTGACACCTGCTGTATATTCCATTGTCCGTGGTGTTTTAAGCTTCAGTCCGAAGAGGATGCTAAGTTATAGATGGTTGGGCTTGCCGCTTGCAGCATATTCAGTTATAAATGAGAAACATATCTATTCATCCTTCTGTTCTAGGCCTCTGTGGTGAAAGCCGTGAAGTCCGAACTGGGCGTCCAGACCCTGGCCATTGGTGATGGTGCCAACGACGTAAATATGATTCAGTGCGCCGACGTGGGGATCGGAATCAGTGGACAGGAGGGCATGCAGGCGGTAATGGCCTCCGATTTTGCCATCAGCCGATTTCGATTTCTCAAGCGTCTCCTGCTTGTCCACGGTCACTGGTGCTATGAAAAGCTGGCGAGAATGACACTCTACATGTTCTACAAAGATGCTGTGAGTCAGGATTAAATAAGCTCAGATTGTGGTCTTTAGACGTAAGGAGCCATTCTTCTTCTTCTGTTTCTTCCAGACAGACCCTTGGCAGGACAGTCTTCCTTCCCATTGGGCATTGATATATTACGCCCTATTTGCACTGTGTCCGGTCTCTTAGAGGCGATTTTCCTAACCAGGGCAGGTTTATTAAGAAATCAGTTGTCGAGACGCTTACTAAACTGCACTCAACAAACAGTCACCGATGGATTAGCGATCGTCTTTAATGTCTAACTGCATGAGCTCGTCATTCTGCCCTGACGCCATTTGGCATCTCGGTCTTATCACTAGTAGGATACAGCCTTATTTAGCCCATCAGCCACACCCCAGCACCAATGTTGACCTGTTGAATAGATCAAGCGAGCGCTGCTGGTCTGTCCCTCAACTTGGCAATGTAATGAGTGCAGCCGGGTTTGGTCTGCGGATAGGAAGTAGACTTTTCATAACACTGTTCGGCGCGTCCAGTATGCCTGGTCAAACCTACTGTATCATCTATGGGCCACGAAGTAAAAAGGAAGCAATAGTGAGACCGACGCTGTGAAATTATTTCCATTGCCGTAGAATTCATACATACATCGTCTTCAATCCCTCGAGCACTTTCCTCGCCTACCTGTTAACATAGTTGCTAACTTAGCTGCACGCACATTTTTGATCTTCAGTGTCTGCAGACCCCACGAAACTCCATTAGCCACCTTTTGAAATGGCGGTGCACCACCAAATGTCTCCGGGGTTATCATTTATTGTGGTTGGAGCTTCATTCCACCAATCTCCTTAACTCAAACCAAGGCTCTTGAAATTGTTATGCCCATTAAATCAGACATGTGTGCAACAGACGTACATTTTTAGCTTGAAGTTATTTTTTGGTGTTTACTGCTCATCCAAAACAGAAGCCCTTTGGTAAATTCAGGTCACCATTTATGTAGTCAGGCGATAGTTGTCTCCGTGTCAAACTCCAGACTGTTTGTCGGCTGTTTTTTCTTAAATTCATTGTTTTGAGGCGTAAGAGTAGACGTTATGCTTTGGTTTGCTAGCTTGTTTCTGCTTAACACATGTTTTGTTTTCAACACGCCAAATGCTTTTTCCACGCCGTCTTTGGTAGCTTTTTCTCCTTATTTTGTGTGCACACCCACCGACTGCATCTCCTTGACTATTTTATTTTGGATGTGAGTATTTTTGGCCTGGATGCAGGCTGAAGCTGACCGACCGCTTTCTTCGCCCTCCAGCTCTACATACTCTCGCTGTTCTGGTACCAGTTCTTCAATGGCTTCTCCGGCAGTGCGCACATCGATCAGCTCTCGCAAGTTCTCTTCATGGTAGCCATGACCAGTGTTCCACCCTTCGTCCTCGGTATTTTCGACAATCCTCTCGATGCCAGCACGCTGATGGCTAACCCGGAACTCTATCGCAACGGACGAGACTCCATGGTAGCGTTGGAACTCTCTATTTTGACTTGCGACGCTGTATTACAATTTTCTATGCTACTGCACTGCTTAAAAATGCGCTTATGTCTAGCTGAAGAGCAATAATCCAGTTGATGCAAAATGAAAATAATTAAAGTTAGGGAAAAGCGTTCATAGTATAGAATGCGAATTGAGGATACTGCTTTAAACATACTGAGTAAGGCCTTGGTTCTTGTCTCTGGTGCCTTCGAGCCTTTTTCTGACATTTTAACGAAGAGCTGTGGTTGACTGCGAACCATAAAGCACCGACAAATTTATTGTATCGGCCAACGCTATTCAGCTTTGCCGACGCTAAGTGGCCTTAAAATCACGGGAACTGCTACCCTAGGTAGACGTCTGACACTAGAACCGAATCGATTGGCCATCGACGATTCTGAAGTCATATGCACTACCGTTTGAGCAAGGGGCGGCACTCCTATAGGTGGCGCTCGAAAGTGCTCATTCATGTGGGCTTGAAAGTCATCGATCCATCGTGGCTGCAGGATGGCAGTGCGCAGCCACAGGGCATAGGTTAGTAGACAGATCGTTAAGCTCGGAATGCTCAATGGCCTGCGCTCTTTTGTCGCCAAGCTATCACAAAAAGATGACGAGTAATAAGGACGAAGTAATTTAGAAAATGCAATAAGATCCTCCTTCGGGGGATCATCCTGCACTCCAGACAGTATGTTAGACAAGGTTCTGTGGCTCGTAATAGGTCTCTATTTACTGACAGGTAGTTCTCCTATGGGTTTTCTTCCCTGTAGACGGCTTAAGCTCTTTATGGGAGGGTGTTTTGTTCTGTGTACTTTCCCTATGAAAGCTGTAACGATTTGAATTCGTTCCTCGGCTGCATCCGACATGCCTTAAGATGAAAATATGTATTTTTCGCTGCGTGTCGTCCGTCATTTGGAGGTTTTTCGACAAAAACCATGTTCAATTTGACCCAATTTAGCCCAAACTCAATATAGCATGTGTACCTACCTGATAGTTTATTCCTAATCTCGGATCGCCTTAATCAACGTGCACTTTCTAAAAAAATTTAATTGAATTCTGATGAAGGAAAATTGATTTATTCTCGGAAACCTAATTCAGGTATAATGGATTGGACTGGCAAATCAGAGGTAATGCCGTCTTACACAAAATATCCTTCCGTCTGATAACAGCCAGAAGTATTTTTCTTTTTTTCTAACAGGTTAGGACTATTTTGTATCCCTTTGCGCTTTCATACTGTTTAGGTTATTTATCTCAAGTTTTAATCACCGTTTTCTAAGGCGAGGCCTGTTTTAGGAGGTATATTGATGGCTCTCTTTTGTTTGTGTCGGGAAGCGCCCCGGAGCGACGCAGGCTTAGCGATTGTATAGATTTAGGAATGTGTTCATTCCAGCCAGTCGGAAACCGAAGGCATGACTCCAGCTTCAGAATAGTGAGCCCAAAGCAATATGACCACATAGTTTTACCTATTCCTCGAAGTGAAAACCCTAATAACTTGTTCGTGTCCTGCCAAAAGTTACACCAATTCAGAAATTTGCACCGATTAAACCTATCGTCGTTCATAGTCTGCATAATAAAAGATGGATACTATGTTGAAAGGTTACGGGTCATAAAGCCTTTGATGTGTGTAAATGCTCATTCCCTGTCTCAGGGATTTTGTTTGCAGTTTGCAGAGCGGTGTGCAGTCACTTATTTTTTATAGGACATAATTGAGGGTGTGACGCTGCTTTTTATTCAGAGCGTTTTAGC